TCCAAATAAAAATCAATTTAACAAAATAGGAAAAACGCCAAGGGGGATGAATACTTTTGCAAGGCACTGTATCTCTCTGTACTTTGCTCCATTCATATTTTTTCCCTTTATCCTGACTAGTCTCCCAGTCCCTGCCACTGAAAAACATCCCCACAACATGATCCTGCTACCACCATGCTTCACCGTAGGGATGGTGCCAGGTTTCCTCCAGACGTGACGCTTGGCATTCAGGCCAAACAGTTCAATCTTCGTTTCATCAGACCAGAGAATCTTGTTTCTCATGGTCTGAGAGTCCTTTAGGTGCCTTTTGGCAAACTCCAAGCGGGCTGTCATGTGCCTTTTACTGAGGAGTGGCTTCCATCTGTCCATTCAACCATAAAGGCCTGATTGGTAGAGTGCTGCCGAGATGGTTGTCCGTCTGGAAGGTTCTCCCATCTCCACAGAGGAACTCTGGAGCTCTGTCAGAGTGAACATCAGGTTCTTGGTCACCTCCCTGACCAAGACCCTTCTCCTCCGATTACTCAGTTTGGCCGGGCGGCCAGCTCTAGGAAGAGTCTTGGTGGTTCCAAGCTTCTTCCATTTAAGAATGATGGAGGTCACTGTGTTCTTGGGGACCTTCAATGCTTCAGAAAATGTTTGGTACCCTTCCCCAGATCTGTGCCTCGACACAATCCTGTATCGGTACTCTACAGACAATTCCTTCAGCCTCATGGCTTGGTTTTTGTTCTGACATGCACTGATAACTGTGTGACCTTATATAGACAGGTGTGTGCCTTTCCAAATCATGTCCAATTAATTTAATTTACCACAGGTGGACTCCAATCAAGTTGTAGAAACACCTCAAAGATGATCAATGGAAACAGGATGCACCTGAGCTCAATTTCGAGTCTCATAGCAAAGGGTCTGAATACTTATGTAAATAAGGTATTTCTGTTTTGTTATTTTAATACATTTGCAAAATATTCTAAAAGCCTGTTTTCACTTTGTCATTATGGGGTATTGTGTGTAGATTGATGAGGGAAAACGTTCATTTAATCCATTTTAGAATAAGGCTGTAACCTAACAAAATGTGGAAAAAGGGAATGGGTCTGAATAGTTTCCGAAGGCACTGTAGATAGGCATGGAGTGACAGAACAGAACACACCTCGTCTAAACAGAGTACTTACGTGCCTGAACTCGGCAGAAAAAGATTTTCCTAGCACAAGGAGTATTTCTGTTAGGAGGGGGGAGTCCTACCAAGGCCATGTTATTCACAGGGAGGAGGAGGTGGGGAGGGGAGAGAGAGACAATCAATTCATTTCAACAAAGACGTTGCCATGAAAAGCTATCCTTTAAAACGTAGCCTAAACTTTAACTAAAAAGGTCTTACAGAGAAATATTACCCCCTGCTTAAACAAACAAACAAACAAACAGGGATAACCCCATTGCAATATCAAATCTGAGAATATGGATTATTACCGAGCTTAGCAGCACTGGGTGACACTGGTGGTGACTGCAAATCATTTTCCAACTCAGTAACTTGAAGGCTTCAGCACATATGGTTAAAATAATATATCAATGAATTCAAAATCAGCAACACAGAACACATAAACTGACCATTTGATATCAGGCATGAATACACAATTACATTTCTGCCAAGCATTTAATAGTTGCGCATAACTATTGTGATGCCACACAAAGATGAACAGATATAACCACAGAGCATAATGTCAGGGTGCTATATCTATGGCTATAACCCCATTTCTCTCTCAATACAAAATGTTCATTATTAGGGAAAAGGGTAACACACTTGCTGAGAATTCAAGATGGGATGATGGGAGGACAGGACAGGACACATGTCAGGAGGAAGCTTCCTATTGCTCCTATGGAGGTATGAGTGCCAGACAGACAGACCGACAGACAGAGACAGGACAGGAATGCATAGCAGCTGTATGGTAGAAACCATAGAAATAGAATCCATAGAACAGGCCTCCCTTTTCAAGTCAATGATGTCATCTCTTGGTCGACTGAGAATTGTCTGTTCTTTCGACCAATCAATTGGTTGACATTTTAAAAACGTGCATTTTTCCATATATAGCCACACGTGTTTTAATAAAATCAACTATATGCACTGAGATTATCTGATGCTTTAAGCACACTGTTTGATGAAATAATTAAGGCACATAAATGACTCAAGAGGGTGCCAGAGATCAAGATAACCAGAAGAAGAAAAAAAAAACTGTTCCCAACCCAACCCTCCGCAACTCGCTCCTGCTGCCCTTCGCAGATTCTGCCATTTTGCTCCTGAAGTTGCCTGTAATAGGCTACACCAGGGGTCGGCAACCGTTTTCACGTGGAGTGCCAATTTACAATTTATCTCACTATTTCTACCGATCTGCGTGCCAGTTATGATTTTCATATGCATCTTTTAGTGGAACAGCTTCATTTACATAATAATAACGTATTTGTGTTCTATTGCCAACTAGGTAAAAATAGCCTACATAAAGCAAACAAATAAAAACATTGCAGGTAGAAAATATACTGAAAAGAATAAAGATCCTATAAATTACATTGGCTACGCATTGAGGTTTGTTTGTCATGTTGACAAAAAAACAGAAAACGTGAGCGTGCATAACTATTCACCCCCACAATGTCAATACGTTGTAGAGCCACCTTTTGCAGCAATTACAGCTGCAAGTCTCTTGGGGTATGTCTCTATAAGCTTGGCACATCCATCCACTGGGATTTTTGCCCATTCTTCAAGGCTGTGATTTTTGCCCATTCTTCCCTGTATTTAGCGCCATCCATTATTCCTTCAATTCTGACCAGTTTCCCAGTCCCTGCCGATGAAAAACATCCCCACAGCATGATGCTGCCACCACCATGCTTCACTGTGGGGATGGTGTTCTCAGGGTGATGAGAGGTGTTGGGTTTGTGCCAGACATAGCGTTTTCCTTGATGGCCAAAAAGCTCAATTGTAGTCTCATCTGACCAGAGTACCTTCTTCCATATGTTTGGGGAGTCTCCCACATGCTTTTTGGCGAACACCAAACATGTTTGCTTATTTTTTTCTTTAAGCAATGGCTTTTTTCTGGCCACTCTTCAGTAAAGCCCAGCTCTGTGGAGTGTACGGCTTAAAGTGGTCCTATGGACAGATACTCCAATCTCCGCTGTGGAGCTTTGCAGCTCCTTCAAGGTTATCTTTGGTCTCTTTGTTGCCTCTCTGATTAATGCCCTCCTTGCCTGGTCTGTGAGTTTTGGTGGGTGGCTCTCTCTTGGCAGGTTTGTTGTGGTGCCATATTCTTTCAATTTTTTCATAATGGTTTTAATGGTGCTCTGTGGGATGTTCAAAGTTTCGGATATTTTTTTATAACCCAACCCTAATCTGTACTTCTCCACAACTTTGTCCCTGACCTGTTTGGAGAGCTCCTTGGTCTTCATGGTGCCGCTTGCTTGGTGGTTCCCCTTGCTTAGTGGTGTTGCAGACTCTGGGACCTTTCAGAACAGGTGTATAAATACTGAGATCATGTGACACTTAGATTGCACACTGGTGGACTTTATTTAACTAATTATGTGACTTCTGAAGGTAATTGGTTGCACCAGATCTTATTTAGGGGCTTCATAGCAAAGGGGGTGAATACATATGCACGTACCACTTTTCCATTATTTATTTTTGAGAATTTCTGAAACAAGTTATTTTTTTCATTTCACTTCACTATTTTGTGTATGTCCATTACATGAAATCCAAATAAAAATCCATTTAAATTACAGGTTGTAATGCAACAAAATAGGAAAAACGCCAAGGGGGATGAATACTTTTGCAAGGCACTGTAGTTTTCAGTTTCCAGCACCAGTCAGCTTTATTTGTGCAAGGGATAAGAAGTAATCAGGTATTTTATGACGTTTCCACTGGATCAGAGTATAACATTTTTCCCTTTCACGCCGAGGCTAGGTCATTAGCGAAAGGGAGAGAGCTGGAAAGATTTTTCAAATACATTGAGGAACTATTGTCATTCTCAATGGATGTAAAAATAGACTTTGTTTACTTGCTGTTTGAGGTGAATAAAAAATTACTTTGAAAAGCAAAAAAAATTACTTTGAAAATACCTGCAGTCAACTTGTGCAATACTTTAGGAGATAAAGAACATTGTGTTCTTCATTTCACCTGTCACATTATTATGAAGCTTACAGTAGTCCCCAGTCACTTATCACGTGGTGTTTGTTCAGTTCCAGCTCATTGGTGGTGGTGAGTTAAGACAACCAGAAATACTAATCAGACAACGAATACATTGACAAAACTCGTAAATGGAATCAAATAAACCAAAACTTGTTTCTCATTAATCTAGCATAGTGAGCTCAGCAAACAACGTGTCCACTCGGACAATGAGGACGGGGAAACGGCTGTAATAATTATATATTGAGAGCATTAACATAAATTACCATAACCAAACAAACATTGTAGATTAGAAATTATGGGAATGAACGGTAAACATACTACTAGTGATATATGTAATGGAATTGGTAGACACTAACAATCAAAGAGCAAACAATTCACACGAGGAAGTCATGAAATTATGAATGCGCACAAATTGGCGGGAGAGAGATGCGGCTTGTGCAGCCCTCATGTGCCATAAAAATAAGATATAATATTTGCGACCGCTTGGCAAAAAATAAACGCTGTTGATCAACAGCCTATGACCAAACAATCGACCAGTCGACAAAAAATGGGGTCAGCCCTAGTGGACTGGCAGCCATTGCGAGGTGCGAGTGTATCCATGAGTTTACCAGTCATGCCAGGGTTAGAGATTCCAAGGCCTTTCTATGGATTCTATTTCTATGGTAGAACCACTGTGTGGGTGTAGTAGGACAGAGGACCAGGAGGTGCAGAGGAGCAGTGACGTTTGAGCCACATCGTCTCATCTCACAGACAGCCAGTAGTACTGAAGCCACACTACTGTGGTGTACATTCCACAGGAGGATCAGCATTTTCTCACACACACAAAGAGACTCAAACTCAAGACTTAAACCTAAGCACAAACACCCAAAGAGCAAGGTATGGTGACTGGGCACATAGCCAGACACATAGAGCATGGCTATGGAAACAGTGAGCGGGGTTGCCAGTTGCCATAGCGAGCCTATAGGATCAGTGAGCAGCAGGCTGGCTTTATACCACATTTGTTCTAGCGGAGTGGGTTGCCAGATTGGGACATTATAAACAGGGCTTATACCATACAAGGTGCTTATAACAAAGCTTATAAGTACTTATCACAGTATGCTTACCTCTATGCTGGACGTAAGGCTGCTGGGCAGGGTGTCAGAGGTGACAGCAGTGGAGGGGGAGGGCAGGCTGGAGAAGTCCCACAGGGTGACAGGGGGAGCGGGGGGCTCTGCAGGCTTGGCTGCCTCTACACATGTCTGGCCATCCTGTAAGGTCACTTCATAAAACTCCTGGATCTCTGGAGGAGTAGGGAGGAGAATGGGGAAATGTCAATGAGGGGAATGGAGAGTGATGAATCTGTTAGCGCTGGGTGTTGTGGTTCTTAGAAAAACACAATAAATCAGACTATGTTCAAACTGGTATATTATGTGTCTGGTTTCAGTATGTCTCAGCATGTAAGTAAGTGTGTTTCAGTATGTCTCAGCATGTAAGTACGTGTGTTTCAGTATGTCTCAGCATGTAAGTAAGTGTGTTTCAGTATGTCTCATGAGGCTACATTATCTGATACATTATCCATACTCAAGTAAAACATTTATTTACTATAAATCCAGTCGGACAACAAAATAAGTTACGCATAGGCCTAATTAACCTTTTTTTTGTAGTACTACATGCACGTTATCATGCCCACCGCACTCGTGTACGTCTAGAGTAACAGCATAATGTCAGGCATGTGATATGATGTCTCTGAGCTATGTACAGTAGCATGCTACATGAGTAAGGGCTGATGACATTAGTTCAGAGAACCAGTAGCGTAAAGGCCAAGCCCAGCCCTCCCTGTGACCCGTGTCAGATGTTTATGATCTTCATTCCCATTCAATATGACCTTTACTTTAAGGATTTAACAGCTAAAGAGAGATTTCAAATAGACCTACTACTAGAACCCATGCCTGACATTTCTAAATGGAGCGGAGACCTCTCTTCACTCTTACTAACTACTGGAAAGTGTAGACCGTAGAGGGTAGACCGTTGACACATCAGAAATACTACAAAACATGGATTAATTTAACAACATGGATATCTAGTAAACTGAAATTAAACTAGACCTGGGCTCAAATATATACGTATTTAATTGTTTTTTATTTAAACTAATTATTTGTGTATTTTAGTATTTTCAAATAATGTGGCCAAATCAGCTACCTCTATTTGAAGTATTTGAAAGTATTTTCAAAAAAACGTCCTATAAATAGCCAATACAATTTTTTTATACTTATTTACAAATACAATATTTCAAATATCCCTAGGACCAAACAGACCTGGGTTCAAATGCATTGAATATTTAAAGATGCACTATGCAGAAATCGCTCCGCCATTTCCTGGTTGCAAAAATGTCTGTTTATGTGACAAAACAAGCAAGTATAGTGTAGAGAATCATTATACCTTCTAAAGAGCTGTGAAATATTGTATTTTCAGTTGTTTGAAGCTGGTGTACAAAACCGAAAGTAAAAGACGCAAAAACAAAACTTAAAGATGAACTGAAACATTTTAGTAAGTTATGGTGATTTTGATAACCAATTGTGATAAAGATGCATGTTCCTACCCTTAAAACTGCTGAAAAACTCATATTTCTGTTAAAACTTTAGAAAATTGCCTCATCTGACTACTGTGTGCCGCCATCTTGATAACGTGTCAACAATGACATCACTTGAATGGTTTGTCTGACAGGCAGCTCAGACTACAATGCATGTTAGAAGCCTCATTGAAAATGTTTTCATTTGGACAACAATAAAAAATATGAAAATAAGAGCCTTTTTAGAAGGCTATCCGATTAGAGACTAGCCAGTTAACATGACATGGATGATAAATTCATCCACAAAAAGTATGCTGTGCAAATTGGGCTATCATAGCTAGCCAGCTAGTCGAAAACCATCAGCTATTGATGGATATTTTGCTAGCTAGTGACGTTAGCAGAAAAGCTTGCTTCAGTGCAGGATTTTAATATGGACTATTGATTTCACCACGCATAATTTGGTAAATCTCACAACTAACTGCAATTGATATAATAGGAGTGAACACTGTTAACAAACCTACATGTCTGTAACCTACATAACCTACTCCTGAGTGGTGCAGTGGTCTAAGGCACTGTGCCACTAGAGATCCTGGTTCGAATCCAGGCTCTGTCGCAGCCGGCCGCGACCGGGAGACTCATGGGCGGCGCACAATTGGCCCAGTGTCGTCCAGGGTAGGGGAGGGAATGGCTGGCAGGGATGTAGCTCACTTGGGTTCAATTCCCACGGGGGGCCAGTATATATAAAAAAATATGTATTCACTAACTGTAAGTCTCTCTGGATAAGAGTGTCTGCTAAATGACTAAAATGTAAAAATGTATCTAACTCTTTCATAACAGACACCTAGCTAGCTAGCTTGCATTGACTGAACACTCGTTTTTCTATCCAGCTGTTTCTAGCCTCTCCTAGGTTTGGCATATCTGTAGTCCTTCACCGCAAACCATATTGAATACCGTGTCATACATAGTGCACATGATCTGCCTGCAAATTTGACTTTATTATTGTGGGCATTACCATGCAGTTAGCTTACTAACCTTGTTTGCGTCTAGCTTTCAGGCTAACTTCGGCTAACACAGTACGATCCGATGCCAATGTCAAAACTACTGTAATGTTTAACGCAGCTATACCACAAACATGTTCAAGTGGGTTTTTGACTGAACTATACAGGCTTAATCGATGCTAGGTAACTGCTTTGTTATTGTTATTGTTATTGTGGATGTCATGCAGTGCGGTTGTGTTTTCTGTTGTGTCCTCGTGTAAATAGCCTCTGTAGCTCAGCTGGTAGAGCACGGCGCTTGTAACGCCAAGGTAGTGGGTTCGATCCCCGGGACCACCCATACACAAAAATGTATGCACGCACGACTGTAAGTCGCTTTGGATAAAAGCGTCTGCTAAATGGCATATTATTATTATTTAGTTTTTTGTATTTTTTCGTATATATTTCTCTCTCACTTTCCATCCTTTAACTAAATATACTTTCCTGCAACCCGCCTCACCCAATGTGGAACGGATTCTATTATTTCTTTATTATTATCAAGAACCTATGGCTGAAACTAGCCAGCTAGCCAACTAACTAGCTACTTGCTATTAGCCACCGTTAGCGGTCTTCACCACTGTCCATGGCCTGCACTACCTACCAGCCAGCTCTAGCCTGGACAATTATCGGCCAGTCTGCACAGCGTGCTATCGACCCAGAGCATATCGGATTTTCTGCCGGAATCACTGAATCACTGGACCTCTTAAACGCTAGTAAAACTAAATGCATGCTCTTCAATCGAACGCTGCTTGCACCCGCCCGCCCGACTAGAATCACTACTCTCGGCGGGTCTGACTTAGAATATGTGGACAACTACAAATACCTAGGTGTCTGGTTAGACCGTAAACTCTCCTTCCAGACTCACATTAAGCATCTCCAATCCAAAGTTAAATCTAGAATCGGCTTCCTATTTCGCAACAAAGCCTCCTTCACTCATGCTGCTAAACATGCCCTCGTAAAACTGACTATCCTACCGATCCTTGACTTCGGCGATGTCATTTACAGAACAATTTCCAGCACTCTACTCAGCAAATTGGATGTAGTCTATCACAGTGCCATCCATTTTGTCACCAAAGCCCCATATACTACCCACCATTGTGACCTGTATGCTCTCATTGGCTGGCCCTCACTACATATTCGTCGCCAAATCCACTGGCTCCAGGTCATCTATTAATCACTTCTAGGCAAATCCCCGCCTTATCTTAGCTCATTGGTCACCATAGCAACACCCACCCGTAATATGCGTTCCAGCAGGTATATCTCACTGGTCATCCCCAAAGCCAACACCTCCTTTGGCCGCCATTCCTTCCAGTTCTCTGCTGCCAATGACTGGAACGAACTGCAAAAACCTCTGAAGCTGGAGACACTTATCTCCCTCACTAACTTTAAGCATCAGTTGTCAGAGCAGCTTACTGATCACTGCACCTGTACACAGCCCATCTGTAATTAGCCCACCCAACTACCTCATCCCCATACTGTTATTTACATTGTTATTTATTTTGCTCATTTGCACCCCAGTATCTCTATTTGCACATCATCTTCTGCACATCTATCACTCCAGTGTTAATACTAAATTGTAATTATTTTGCACTATGGCCTAGTTATTGCCTTACCTCCATAACTTACTACATTTGCACACACTGTATATAGATTTTCTATTGTGTTATTGACTGTACGTTTTGTTTACCCCATATGTACCTCTGTGTTGTTGTTGTTTTTAAATCGCTCTGCTTTGCTTTATCTTGGCCAGGTCGCAGTGGTAAATGAGAACTAGTTCTCAACTGGCTTACCTGGTTAAATAAAGGTGAAATAAATACTAATGTTGGGTAACAGTAGCTAGATGTATCCTACAGCTGAATGAGCTCAAAGCGCGGGTTTTTGACCGGACTGTCACGCTCGTTCATTAACGAGAAGGACCAAGGCGCAGCGTGATATGTATTCATATTTATTTACGTACTGAACACACGACAAAACAACAAACGAAACGTGAAGTCCTAGGTAGACAAAATAACATACCTCACACGGAACAAGATCCCACAACTGACTGGTGCCAAAAGGCTGCCTAAGTATGGTCCCCAATCAGAGACAACGAGCTACAGCTGCCTCTGATTGGGAACCACCCTGGCCAACATAGATCTCAACGATCTAGAAACTAAACATAGAAATAAACACAACACGAAATATACACACCCTGACTCAACAAATAACCGTGACAGGGCGTGACAGTACCCCCCCCCCAAAGGTGCGGACTCCGACCGCGCCACATAAACCTAATAGGGTAGGGGCCGGGTAGGCATTCCGCCTCGGAGGCGGATCCGGCTCCGGAGTGGAGCCGCTGGCCGGAGCTGGACTGGACCCCGGTGGAGCGGATTGCTCTGGCTCCGGAGTGGAGCCGCTGACCGGAGCTGGACCAGGCACCGGTGGAACAGGCACGGGCCGTGCCGGACTGGACACACGCACCACTGGCTTGATGCGGGGAGCAGGAACGGGCCGGACTGGGCTGACGACGCGCACCCCTGTCTTGGTGCGGGGAGCAGGAACGGGCCGTGCCGGACTGGACACACGCACCACTGGCTTGGTGCGGGGAGCAGGAACGGGCCGGACTGGGCTGGCGACGCGCACCACTGGCTTGGTGCGAGGGGCAGGAACAGGCCGGGCCGGGCTGGCGACGCGCACCACTGACTTGGTGCGAGAGACAGGAACAGGCCGGACCGGGCTGGCGACGCGCACCACTGGCTTGGTGCGAGGGGCAGGAACAGGCCGGACCGGGCTGGCGACGCGCACCACTGACTTGTTGCGAGGGACAGGAACAGGCCGGACCGGGCTGGCGATGCGCACCACTGGCTTGATGCGAGGAGCAGGAACGGGCCGAACCATACTGGGAACACCCACCACTGGCTTAGTGCGAGAATCAGGAACGGGCCGGACCGGACTGGCGACACGCACCACTTGATTGGTGCGAGGAGCGGGACTGGGTTCCTTCATTAACCCCCGCTCCTTCTGCTGCCTAACCAGCTCCTCTCGCCGTGCCTCTACACTTTCCTTCTGCTCCCTCTGCACCAATGACCCCCTTAATCTGGCGGCCTCCTCTGCTAAACGGCCGAAACGTGAAGTCCTAGGTAGACAAAATAACATACCTCACACGGAACAAGATCCCACAACTGACTGGTGCCAAAAGGCTGCCTAAGTATGGTCCCCAATCAGAGACAACGAGCTACAGCTGCCTCTGATTGGGAACCAAAAAGCCATGAGTAAAGTAGGCGTGCGGACACTCTACCATTCCCATGACGTTGTTTCAATATGGCTGAAGCTACATCTCTCCAAGCATGTGCTAGGCGCTGCGGCCACATCTCTCCAAGCATGTGCTCAAAAAAATATATAATATTATGTTCTGAAAGCATTTTCATAACATCACGTTCAACAAGGTTACCTAACATCAACATGTAAAACAATGTAGGTTGATTTGAGCGTTTCAGTTCCACTTTAAGAACAGGAAGCCAGGTAGTATTTGAAGCCATGTCTGAATGAAACTAGCAGTGAATAGTGGTGATGCAAGTACAGCCAATGCCTATTAGGGTGCTAAGTTGCCTCCGAAATAAGGTGGTGCAGAGTGACAGAAAAAGCTCAAACTAGAGCCCAACCAATGGTTTTTTGGGGTCCAATACCAATTCCGATTTTTTGTGGGGGACAAAGCTTAGCGATACCGATATATATCCGCCGATATACTGTTTTGCAGCGGGGAAATGAACGTGTCATTTTTCCACACTGAGATCTAGGCTTGTATGGTATCCCGTTATTACCGTATACCGGGGTATTTGGTAAAAGCCACGGGATGGTTTATCAATACCGTTGAAACTATTTATTATACGTTTTTTTTTATACATTTGAATATTTGTAGGTACTTTGTAAGTAAATACCTGCAGTCAACTTGTGCAATACTTTAGGAGATAACATTGTGTTCTTCATTTCACCGGTCACATTATTATGAAGCTTACAGTAGTCCCCAGTCACTCATCACGTGGTGTTTGTTTACAAGCACACAACGACAAGAGACCGGAGCCTTGTGAGTCACTCACTGTTGTGCAGCATATCTGTATTCCCAGTCATGTGAAATCCATAGATTAGGGCCTAATGAATTGATTTCAATTGACAGATTCCCTCATATGAACTGGAACTCAGTAAAATCATTGAAATTGCTGCATTTTGCGTTTTCTATTTTTGTTCAGTATAGTTCTCTATGGGATTATTACATGCACTTGTTAGCATTGCTAACCTTCGGATTACAAAGTATCAGCGGGGTTTGAATACAGCGCCCTTTGTGTTCAGTGCCGGTATTACTGAATATCCCGGTATGGCACAAGGTCCGTATGAAGGTATGACAGTCTGGATACAGCCAAAGCTTAATGAGTTCCAAAATAGTAATTGTCCAAGAAATATGGTTCAAATGTTGATTTCTTACATTGTGACAATAATGATACATCATGAGAACGGCCCCAAATGATCAGATATGCATGAGATTTCCTTTTTTCCATCCTATTTATTGGATATCGGTTATCGGTTATCAATATAGGTTAATATCTAGTTCAAACATTTATTTTACTCTTCATGTGTTCCATTCTGTGATTGAGCTGCAGATCTGATCTGGATCTGATCCTTCACTGAAACAACTGCACCAACTAAGTGACAATTAGCTCTCACATCATGTGCGTGTGTACACTACCCATTTTAGCCCTTACTCACACGACTTGGCTATGTGTAGCCTTTCACTAGGGAGCTTAGCTTGGCTAACTGCTTGGTAAATACAGTGCATGTGGTGGTTTACAGATGTGCAAACAGGACTGGTAGGGATTCAGGACCAATCACCAGAGACTACACTAGCGTACGTACACCAACGTCAATCTGATTTGATTTTATATATATAGCTCTGAGTTAGGCATGATTCTGCAGAGGGCACAGCTGCCCTGGCACGCCCTGGCCTGCCCTTCCTCCAGTCAGTGTGATGTTTCCAGGCCATGGTAGAGCCTAGACCAGGTAAGGAGGTGAGGCTCTGATATACAACACTTAAGGAGAAAGCCCAGGATTATTGATCACTGTCTCAGGTTACAACCTGCCACAGGAAGGAATTACACTGGAGGGAACCCCGATGGTAAACCGCTTACCTTACATCATATGTGAGAGAAAGTACAGTACTACTGCTTATCACTACTGTATTCCTCAGTCATTCTAGCTTTTTTTTTAATGTAGTCCTCCAGAGGGTTAAAGTTAGTCAAGGTCTAGTAATGCCCTGCCCCTGACCTCTCACCTCTAACCCCTGGGCACCAGGTCAAGGCATGCTGACTCTGACCTGCTAAGAGGGGACTGACCTAAGCCGACCACCTCTGAATGCAGGTCAGCAACTCATCATAGCATTACCAGATACCTGAGATAGGAGACCAGGGAAGAGTGTGTAGGTGGCAGGTGAACATACACACACACACACACACTGGAGGCAGCTTATAGCAGGCCCTGCATGGCAGGTCCCTTTACAACTTAGTGTTTGACGTTGGCAATACCCAAAATGTCAAAATCAAGACGCAGTTTCTCTGAGGCCAAAGACACACTTTTCCGTCCATCCCTTCCTGAAGATAGCTGGCCTGCCTGCCTGCCTGCTGTATTCACCTTGCACCACTAAAGACTGCCTGGGACTATATATAGGATAGGCTGCTATAGGAAATAATTAGAGCAGGATACCCTGGTGTGGCACAATGGGCCCTGAGTGGAGCTCTATACAGCTCTCTGACACATACAGGGGGAGGAAGAGGAGGAAGAGGAAGAGGAGAAGGAAGAGGAGGATGAAGTGAGTTAGACTTTCCCCCACACAATTTGTAGTGTGCTTTTCATCAGGTTTCAAAGCATGCCATGAATGTAATTAATCACCTTGGGTGTGTCTATGCAATTCAGATTAAACTGTATCCTCCCTTCTCAAACACAATTCAGCAAACACACACTTACATACATATGAACATACGCACACTCAATCTCTATCCAGGTGGTTTGATACAGCTGCCGAAGCCCTAAAAATAAAACCAGCTATAAAAAGGTTTTGAAAGTTTTGAGTGCAGTAGACACATTCATATTTGTACAGTAAAACAGACCTGGGGCACTATTCAACCAAAACCAGCGACTTCTCCTGCTGCCCAGTGATGAGGTCAAATAAGAGTTGGATAAAGCTGCTGTACAATTAGATCTACGTATTGAGAAGTGACACGCACTCACTAACACACACTAACACACACTAACACACACTAACACACACTAACACACACTAACACACACTAACACACACTAACACACACTAACACACACTAACACACACTAACACACACTAACACACACTAACACACACTAACACACACTAACACACACTAACATACACTCTCCCCTGAAGACTCCTCTCTGACAAGCAAGTAAATCAGAAGGGATTACCAGTAGTAGCATCAGAGTAATCATGTCAGTAGACGGATTACACTCCTGACTCTTATCATACATATCTTACACAGCGCAGATTGCTTCCCATCCTATCCCACTTTTTCATCAGCAACCGACAACAGGACCCAACAGGAGGGAGGGAGGAGTGAACGAGAGAGGGTCAGAGGGAGTGTGTGTGTGTGTGTGTGTGTGTGTGTGTGTGTGTTAGATTACTGCACTGTATTTCTGAGTATTTATCAGCAGTCAGTCATGTGTGTATAATGCAGGAACTTGTGTGTCCATGCAAGGGTCAAGGTCAAGAAATATCCTGTGTGTGAATTGATCGAAGAATGAAACCCTAGGGTCGGGAGAAACAGGGAGAGACAGAGAGAGACAAAGAGACAGAGAGACAGAGAGACAGAGAGACAGAGAGACAGAGAGACAGAGAGAGTGAGAGAAACAGGGAGAGAAAAACAGGGAAAGACAGGGAGAGAGAGAGAGAAACATGGAAAGAGAGTGAGAGTGAGAGAGAGAGGAGAGACAGGGGAGAGACAGGGGAGAGAGACAGGAGAGAGACAGGGGAGAGACAGAGGAGAGACAGGGGAGAGACAGGGGAGAGAGACAGGGGGGAGAGACAGGGGGGAGAGACAGGGGGGAGAGACAGGGGGGAGAGACAGGGGAGAGACAGAGGAGAGACAGGGGAGAGACAGGGGGGAGAGACGGGGGAGAGACAGGGGGGAGAGACAGGGGCGAGACAGGGGAGAGAGACAGGTGGGAGACAGGGGAGAGACAGGGGAGAGACGAGGGAGAGACAGGGGAGAGACAGCGGAGAGAGGGAGAGATATGGAGGTCCAGGGGAACCAGCTAATGAGATTAAAAGAGCATGTAAAGGAGGACAATGAGGAGTGGTTAGCCAATCAAGAAGCCATGCTCTTCAATTACACCAGTGAATGGAGGGGTTTCAATCCAATCTACAACAACACAACACCCATATGAGTTACTGTAGGGGTGGTGGTGGCCCTAGGGGTGGGCTGGTGGAAAGGAATCAAATTAGTTAGCCTAACTGTCCGGACTGGAAGTTCTATCACATAAAAAAATGTCTTCCCAGAGTTGACAGGGTTGTTAATGGAATCTTTCATCCTCGAACAACTGATGTCAAGCACCGGTTCACAACATCTTCTCTTACTCTAAGAAATGTAACATGAGTACTGCTATGATCAAATGTGACCATTCTTCAACTTTTGTTGGAGAAACAACAAAAATGGAGTAAAGCAACAGCCAGTATCTGTCTACTGAGCAGCCGATTATCTTACAGGCAGACTTTAGATCCAAAGGTCATATTAGAAGAGGTGTTGTTACAAAGTCCAAAAATCTACAGTACAACACACGTACCCTTTATTGGCTCCTGAAACAGATTATAGAAAATAGACGACTCTCAACCTGGGTAGGCCTATATTCATTAGAAACAGTAAAAAATACTAGCCGACTAAACTCAACTCCACGATTTACGATGGACTTGAGCGGTGACTAGTGTGGGCGGACTGCAGCTCTGACGCCACGTAAAATGACGTTTTTATCAAAAACTACTGATTTCAGAACAATGTTGTGTTTAATTCTTTGGGTGCTGAAATCAGTAGTTTAAATCGGCTGTAAAAAAAAAAAAAAAAAGTATATATATATATATATATATATATATATATATATATATATATATATATATATATATATACTAGCCTTATACTGCAATGCAGGGCCTGTAAAAGGGGAAACATAGCAAACGCACGCACACACACTGTTTAAAAACAGAGATGTAACTCAAGACAGTCGAGACAGGTTCTTGGTATAAGGCCAGGCTCCAGAAAACCACCACTTCTGGGTCAATACTACAATAAGGAGAGAGGAGGGGCTAGCCGGTGAAACATTGTGCACGCCAAAATGAACAACACATTGGGAATTCCTGCTCTGTAGGGTTGCTGTGGTGCCGAAGCCTATAGGACAGGACGTTACACTAGGCTGCCCTCATGCCAAGTAGGCTACTTTGGGAACAAGAAAGTTATTACTGAGTCAGTAAACTAAAAGAATGACGGAATTGTAGCGATAGGAAACAAAACAAATGAAGTGAGTTAGTAGTGTAGTAGTTACTATGGTATTACTGTTATGAAGCCCAAGAGAAGGCACAGGATAACTTGAAAATATTAGAATGAACTGATTTATAATGACCATTCTGTTTGAATCAAATGACTGTCTTCCTTGCTGGGTAAAATACTCCAGCATGGCGAGATCAGTGCGCTCCGGGTGGGGGAGAGGCAGGTTACGGTAAAAACAGAAAAACCTGTTTGCATTGCTCAAGCAGGTTAGGCAGGTGACACTGACAATACACAGGAAAAAGTAGTGGAAGTCGACTGATTTGACAGACTTTTGTGTTTGTGAACACATTAGGCCTAGGTTTGAATGGAAGGGGTTTCATACCTATCAAGGCTTGAAAGAGGTTGCTCTGAAAGATGTTGATGACTCTTTCTAGTGACTGTCTGAGTTGTCGGTCTTCTGTCTGTCCAAGTTTCGTCTTGTATTCCTCCATGAGTAGTAAAGCTCTTTCAGCATCTGTAAACAAAACATATCAACAACCAACAAGGCAATGACTCAATGAATGGCAACTACATTGATACACAATCAAATTCAAGCATTAGGCTTGATATGGCTATGTGATATCAACCGACTGGCTAAGGGTTTCATATTTAAAATCGGTGACTGAGACAGTCAGGTGGCAGAATGCATTGGCAACAACTCACGTGCAACATGCAACATATGTGTCTCTGACTGTCGCTATATTTGTTGCACGATATCAGTTGAGGTGGCAACACCATGAACTGGCAACAATGTTTCTTTTCATCTGCATTGGCCTGCTGTCGTTTGCTTTAGCTTGCTACAGCTATTGACATTCTGTAGCATATCGCTTTCATAGCAGGCTGCCATTACATGTGATGTGCTATCTATCACAAAACAGACGAAAAGGATTCTCACCTTTCTTTCGTATAGGCATGACAGCTCCCAAGTGCAGCGGAAAAGTAAACGCAGGCACTGTTTCGTGCGGGCTAATGTTGGGTGTTGTAGCCTACACTCCCTTGCTTCAGATATCCTTTGCTACTGTTGCCAGAGGGGCAGAGCCAGGAGTTTGCACCGTTTTAGCATGAACAGAAACTAGTCTCTTCTCTCCTCAAAAACGCAATGTGCGCTATAGCTCCCGCCTGTTCAATAGACTACAAAAGGCACCGTTTTATTTCTTACTGGACTACAAACATTCAATGAATCCAATTTTTTGTAGATTATAGCCTATTCAGATGACCTGCCGTGAATGCCAATGTGACCAGCTTGTATCGCTGGCAGGGTTAAGTGACAGGGTTCATTTAAGATACTGCCACCCGCCAATAGTGACAGCGCAGGGCAAGATTCCGACACCACTTTCCCACTAACACCTTTGTGACACCCTATTGTCGTATGTCACGTTCGTATCTCCAATCAACTCTCACGTTCGTATCTCCAATCAACTCTCATACACTAAACATAAACAACCCGGTTCTCAGCAAGCCCTGCCCTGTACTGTGCAATTCATTGAGCAGCCTGAAAATCTGAGAACGTGTCTAGTTCAAAGTGGCAGAAGAAACTGCAAGTAAAAAAATCCCAAAGTTCAGTCTGTGCATTAGGGAGTAAATCCTATTTTCGTTTCCGAGTGCTGAATTACTCGTTTCCCGCTCTCCTGTCTTTATCTTTCTCGGTCCGGCAATATTTCCACAAGTTAAAGTTCCCTTGCTCGGCGCTCTCCCCTCCTCTTTTTTTCCACCAATGTATCAGGAATTCCCAAACTTTCCTCCAAAATGGCGTCCAAAGTGTGGAATCGGATCACATGATCCACCCCTCGCCACTAATGGTGTCGGTAGGCTACAGAGTTACCGAGGAGGTGGGATCTAAGAGTTTATAAGAAACAACTTTAAACTGCTTTCAAAAGTCACTTTACATTGAGTGTTCTAAAACCTATGTATTAACAAACATGGTATTGGCTAGGGTTTTACAGTGTTATTTGGCTGGTGTCAGGTAGCCAAAACATTGTTGCATAGACTAACAAAAGTTACATTCAAGCACACAGGTTTTTCAGTAGGGGGAAAACACATTTGGTTTAAATGAACTGTATTATTATGTTAATGTTTTGATCTGTTAATGTTCAAATAAAACATATTTGCATAGAGAGAATTGTAATAACAGGGTGTTTGACGAGATTAAACTATGGAGGACAGGCAATGAATTGGAAGATTACACCCCTGACATGTCAGATTGATAGTAATCATCCCAATACCTGGTTAAACTGTGAAGACTTCACCAGGGGACTTATTGAATATTGTCCACGACACTACACACACAGAATCAATATAGAGCTGCGATACTCATCCTGCCTTTGGCGCCAAGACCACAGTCAGATGGGTTAGTCTGCACCTGGTTAGTGCACCTGGATTTGGTGTGCTGGGTTGCCAGTCTGATCCCAGACAAATCCAACTATCCCCTAGCATCAACGGTCTTTTCCATACATGGCACAGAACAAGATGCTGTCAACCTGTATTCATTCATTAATTCATTGACTTATTTTTTTGTGTGTGTGAGTGTGTGGAACTTTCGTTTGCTGTAAAGTTTATTTTTATTTTTATTTTTATTATTATTATAATTATTTAATTGTTATTATTATAAGACAATAGTTGCCATATTATTCTTAAGTATATATATTAAAAAAAAATAAAGTGGAAACATCTCAAGAGATTTAATCTTGAAAAAATGTAGAATAAATACATGTATAAATTCATGAATTCATCCATTCATCCATTTACAGTCACTGCTTACTGTTCACACCAAGGACTCCATTTTATCAGAGAACCTGCTGTCGTTCACCACCATTACAAACAGGTCCAAATTCTCTGCTGGTTTCAAGCAATGGTCTAAATCCTAGAGCCTCCTTATATCGCTCTCTCTCTCTCTCTCTCTCTCTGCCTGCCTGTCTGATTCTTGCATTGTCATGCTAAACTGACCCATTGTGCACCGGTTAGCAGCGCTCTATTTGGTGTTGTCTCAGATTTATATTCCTGGTGTCTGTCATCTATATACTAACATAAACTCTGGCCTGGCTGGTTCTCTGTATGGTATGGTATGATATAAATAACCTGGCCTGTCTGTTCCTGATGCTGCACTCGCTCACATTTACACAGACCAGCTAGCAGCAGCAGCACTCACTATGGCCCAGATTAGACAGCAGTGAGGGAAGGAAAGGAGGGAAGAGAGGAGAGAGGAGAGGAGAGGATGAGAGAGGATAGGAGAGGATGAGGATCTGGAGGATATCGATGTCTGTGCATCGCTCTACTGTTACTTGGTCGTCATGTATAGACGATTGCACCTTAGCGATGTCTCTTGCTGAGCGACGCGAGTCATTTCGTGAGCGATTATGGTCGAGTACTCTTGTCTTGCGTCAGGGTGGTGGACCCTGCGACGTGTCCGAGTGACTGGCTGAGAGATGTAGGAGTAGCGACGAGATGCAGGTAGAGGTGGTGCAGTGCTACGAGGTTAGGGTTCTTGAGAGAGAAGAGACGTGAGAGGTCGTAGAGTGATCTAGCGAGGAGGCGACGTGGGGGAGGAAGACGAGAGTACGGAGACTATCGGATGATACGGCTGGCTGATAGAGGAGCAGGAGAGAGGCGGCGGATGGGATGACATAGGAGGGGAGGAAGACGGAGAGGAGGGCGGGAAAGGGGGTAGAGAGGACCGAGAGGAGTAGGGGAGGAGAAGGAGAGGAGTAGGAGAGAGAGGAGAGGGGGAGACAAGGGAGGGAAGAGGAAAAGAGAGAGAAGAGGAGGAGAGGAGAGGGTGGAGGGAAGAGGCAAGGAGAGGATGTTATTTTCAGGTAGTCATGTTTTATGAATGTTTCCTTGCTCTCTGTATGTTTACTAGAGGTTCTGCAGAGGAGAATGTCTTAGACATCCTTTGGTAGCAGGGTTGGAGAGGTTCAGGAAAGGATCTGAGATTCAGAATGAATACTTGAAAATAATTAATAATGGTTCATTCATTTCTAAATGTATTTTACATTTCAGTTGAATTCCATTTATTTCGTTGAAGTAATTGAGTTGAACCCAATCTTTCACTCTGTAGCAATGTTTTACGCTTTCTTTAGGATGTGGAAAACAACAACATCTCATCTCTGTTTTCAAAGATGATACCGTTATTACACAGCAATAAGCTATTTCATATAGTGCTTGAATTTAATAGAATGTATTTCATTCTACATATTTCACTGGAGGTAGATATCAATTATCAGAGCATAAAACATATTTAGGTTTCAGTACTGGCACTGGACTCCAGTGTTAAACGCTGAGTAACCCTATGGGTATACTGTGCACTGTAGCTTTGTGTTTCTATAAAAGAGGACTGTATGGCCACTTCATTAACACAATGTGTAGCTTTGTGTTTCTATAAAAGAGGACTGTATGGCCACTTCATTACCATAATGTGTAGCTTTGTGTTTCTATAAAAGAGGACTGTATGGCCACTTCATTACCATAATGTGTAGGTTTGTGTTTCTATAAAAGAGGACTGTATGGCCACTTCATTAACATAATGTGTAGCTTTGTGGTTATATAAAAGAGGCCTGTATGGCCACTTCATTAACATAATGTGTAGCTTTGTGGTTATATAAAAGAGGACTGTATGGCCACTTCATTACCATAATGTGTAGGTTTGTGTTTCTATAAAAGAGGACTGTATGGCCACTTCATTAACATAATGTGTAGCTTTGTGGTTATATAAAAGAGGCCTGTATGGCCACTTCATTAACATAATGTGTAGCTTTGTGGTTATATAAAAGAGGCCTGTATGGCCACTTCATTAACATAATGTGTAGCTTTGTGGTTATATAAAAGAGGCCTGTATGGCCACTTCATTAACATAATGTGTAGCTTTGTGGTTATATAAAAGAGGACTGTATGGCCACTTCATTAACATAATGTGTAGCTTTGTGGTTATATAAAAGAGGACTGTATGGCCACTTCATTACCACTGGCACCAGATGGGGTCCTGTTCCTCCCCTGGATGGTACAGAGTGCACACACGCACACGCACACACACACACACACACACACACACATACACACACACGCACTCAATCATACATACACGTGCACAAACAGTGTTACTGTACACATTGTCAATGAAATGACTGTTAGTCAAATGTCATGGATTTCGGTGTTGCTGACTTTGTGGGATTGTAATTGATTGTTACCAAGAGAGCATGAATGATTGATTGGGTGGCTTTGTGGCCAATTGTCCCTTCCCTCTCTATCTCTGAATGGACCATATGTACAGTAATTATAAGTGAGTGGCTTGTTATGTTGGGTCTATTTCAGGCATCCTTTCTAACAATAACCAATGGCACTGGCCACAGTTTAGAGCCTAGCCTCCATAGCTCTGTAGTGTGAGGGACTTCCTTGTAATCTGATCTAGTCAAGCCCTGTCCGCTACTCCTGATGAAAAGTATTGACGGAGGGAGACTTATTACTTACTGTAATGACATCATCCACCGACTATCCAGATGGCCTCCTCCCTCAAATCCTTCCTTACATCATGTTAGAACACCATTATTACAGGAGAGTTAGGGGCTATTCCCATTGACGAAACGATTATTACAGTCCTCCCAGGAGAGTTAGATAGAGGACAAGCAGAAAAATACAATTTCTCTCCTTCCTTCCCGTGAGACAATCCCTTAAGTTTATGCCTGCTCACTTGCTTGTCTTCTGATCCCTTTGAAAGAGAGCGAAAGAGAGAGAGAGAGAGAGAGAGAGAGAGAGAGAGAGAGAGAGAGCGAAAGAAACAAAGAGACAGAGAGAAAGAGAGACAGAGAGAGAGAGATAGAGAGACAGAGAGAGAGACAGAGAGAGAGAGATAGAGAGACAGAGAGAGAGACAGAGAGAGAGAAAGAGATAGATAGTCTGATTTGAAATGCAGGATCCGTACACA